GGCTGATAGTATACGAGTAGCTCAGCCAATCAGATTGCAGCATTTGCATTAGTATATAAGTAGAATTCTAATAATGAGTTTTAGTAGAATTTTACTAGTACACTAATGCAAATGCTGTAATCTGATTGGCTGAGCCATTTCACAGTATATCAGCTATTAGTGTGCAGTGGCTTAGTGTGGTCGACAAGATTGCAACGTTTCCTCGTTTCTCCAAAGCTTTGAAAGAACATTTAGAAACAAAAGGAGGGCATTTACAGTTTCTTGTGTTAAAAAACCTTGAAAGTTTTGATAGAAACTGATAAGCATGCATACACGAGTGCAAATGTCAAATTGATAATTTAGTCCATGCAAATTCTCTAAAGTGTGTAGTTTAACACTATTAGCACTGAGGGCATGTTTTGATAACAACTTATGCTGAAGGGTTTACCCCGGTTGAATGTGTGATTATTATTTAACTACCATTATTATGCTAGGGCCAAATGCCCCCTGACATGCATTGTTAAGAAACCAACTTGGTCAAATTGCAATAATTCTGCTTAATGTTTGCACATAATTATGTCATCATATTTAATTTGAAGATGTGACAAAACCCGTTCTACATAAAATGTTTAAATCCATACCACCAAATGTATATTTTAAAAGAGACTAGAGGAATTATGATCATGCCAAAAAACCAATCCTCTCTTGAGGAATGGTTCTCGTGCAACAACAGTTTAAAGCAATTTCAGTGTCCCCTCCCAGAACCATACCTGCCAGTACTGTTTCTGTACATTTATCAACCCCTTATATTTTTCTTTCATTTTTGGACAAATACTAAGCATCCGCTAAAGAAAGTGTTATTACCATGTTTCTAATTGGTTTTGCCTTGAAAGTAGGTGAATATTATATTGATGCAAGAATATCACATTGCAAATTACACTTTTTGGTGCTAACAAGGGCAGGAAAAACTTCTAGGACTTTTTTTAAGTTCTTAATTATTATGGTATTAATTATTGTTCTGCCCATCCAGGAATATTAGTCTGAAATATAAGTGGGACACAAAAAAAGTGTACCAACTTCAATCATTAAGCGGTCTCTGTTTTTGGGCTTCGAGTGTTCTCTAACA